TAAAAGTTTTGAACTTTCGGAGCCAATATGGGTTACACAGTGTTTTTCTCTTTTTGTCTTTTTGAGACAGGGTCTCCCTGTAGCCCCAGCTGTCCTGGAACTCACTACGTAGACCAAGCTAGCCTTGAACTCACAGAGATCCTCCTGCCTCTGCCTCCCAGTGCTGCGATTCAATGCGTGTCCCACCACGCCCGGCCTTTACAATGATATTCTTAAAACGGGCAGTGTGGGGTGGTGTACGGCTTTAATTTCAGCACTCTGGAGACAGAGTCAGGTGGATCTCTGAGTTTTCAGACTAGCCTGGTACTACATAGTGAGGTCCTGTCTCACAGATGAACAAGCAATGCAGTCTAACTTGGAGAACCTCAGCTACAACTGGAATCAGTTAATGAGTTTCCCAGACTCAAAGCTGCTATGTACAGCATGGATGATGACTTTCCTGAGCCCAGTTTTCTCATGCTTCCCTTCTGGCATGAACACCTTTGGGAGCTGTGATGTCTGAAAGTCTCTCAGGGTGGGAATAGAGGACCACAGGACCACAGAGCCAGAACTTAGGGTGGTCATGGTGCCCTGACAATAATGGTATTGAAAGGTTGGGAGGGAGGCTGCAGGCTATCTAAGGTCAGAACACACAGCCTTTGCCAGGGTTCTGAGGAGCCCTGCTGTGTTCCATACATGTACATACACACATACATGCACGCATGCACGCACACACACATACACGCATGCACAAATTTTCTGACTCACGTCCTGGAACAGGAAGTCTTCACGTCACCAAGGCTAAGTGACCTCCTGCTTATCCCTCACAGCCTGTCACGGCGACTGGAGCCTGTTAGGTGTAGGGCTGGGGGTGTGGGGTGGTCATTTCCTCCATGCCCACCTTACCTTGCCATAAAGGCTCACACAAGCCGAGGTCAGCACACAGTGCAGGGGAAGAGGACCATCTGTCAGATTCCCAGGTAGCACCAATTGCCTAGCACTCAGATGCTGCCCATTCTCACAGCTCAATCTGCCTTCCATTCAAGCTGCCCTCACTGGTTCTTGGTGACCTGTGATAGGGCTGGTTTCCAGCTCATTCAGCTCCAGGTGCCTCAGCAGGGGCCTGGAGTTCCTGCTGACACAGTAAATCGTGACCACCTTAAAGTGGGTTGCAGGCACTTGGGGTTTGATGTGGGGAAGATATAAGTTCTGTCCATGCAATGTGAGCCATGGCCCTGTGTGGTGCCTACAAGGGAAGACATGGGGCTTCCAAGGCGGGTAGCCAGCAGGGCTGTGAGGGAAGGATGGCTTCCATCCCAGTTGAAAACGGTGTGCTGCACTCCTTGCTCTAGAGACAAGTGTAAGTGACCATCTTCCCAGCTGTGCAGGAACCTGGCCTCTGGATAAGAGCGCTCCTCTGACCAGGCAGCTACTGTCACGCGCTCCCAGGAGGAGGGTGAGTCACGGATACCTTTCCCTTTTTGCAGAGGCAGCTGATGAGTGCATTCCAGGGCCAGGGCTGTGCCGGGAGGCTGCAGGGTGGTGTCCAAAACCTCTGTGGCTGGGCCAGTGGATTAGCAAGGTAGCTTTGAAGGTTCCGGGAGGGAAGCAGTGAGGGCTTAGCAGCCTGGGACTTCTCAATCCCTCTCTCTCCAGGTAGCCAGAAGTCACTGGCTTGAAACCTGAAAAAGCACTGTACTAAGGGGTCCTCTGGCTTTGGAGCCTGACCCTGGACTGGCCTTCACACAGGCCTATGCTAGATTTCTTAACAGCTTCCAGCACTAGATACAAGTCACTGCTGGTGGCATTTATCAGAATTTTCTTTTTTGTGGGGGACTCACTTCACCCCTGCTGGCCTTGAACTCACTATGTAGCTCAGGCCAGCCTTGAACTCAGGGCAACCCATATGCCTTAGCTGCCAGTGCTGGTATTACAGGTGTGTGCTATCAGAGAACTTGCTATATAGAACAGCCTGGCCCCGTTCTCACAGAGATCCACCTGCCTCTGCCTCCCAAGTGCTGGGTTTAAAGGCTTGTGCCATCCCACACCCAGTGTTGCTTTTGTTTTTTGAGACAGGGTCTGGCTGCATTTCAGGCTGGCCCAGAGCTTGGGATTTTTCTATTTTAGTTCCCAAGTGCTGGGATTTACAGGTATGAATCACCATGTCTGGATGATTGGACATTTCTTTCCTTTCAGTGCTGGGAATTGAATTTAGGACCTCATACATATTAAGCAAGCACTAAACCACTGAACATATATTCCCAGCTCTAGACTTTATTTTGAGACAGGATCTCACTATGTAGCCCTAGCTGGCCTGGAACTTACTATTTAGGCCAAGTTAGTCTCAATCTTATTTTGATCTGCCTGCCTCTACCTCCTGAGTGCTGGGATTAAAGGCATGTGCCACCACATCTGGGTCAGCTATGGAGTTTTATAAATTGGAGCTGGGTGTGTGGTGATAAAAGTCTGTAGTCCTAGTGCCCAGGAAGCTGAGGCAGGAGAACTGCAAGTTTGAGGCCAAGAGTTCCAGGCTAGTCAGGGCTACAAAACAAACACAGTGAGCCAGGTGTGGTGGTACACATCTTTAATCAGGAAGCAGAGGCAGGCAGACCTCCTGTGAGACTGAGGCTTACCAAGTCTACACAGAGAGTTCCAGGCCAGTCAGGGCTACAAGGAGAGGCCTGGAGAGATGGCTCAGCAGCTAAAAACACTGATTACTCTTCCAGAGGACACCTAGGTTCAGTTCCCAGCATTCACATGGCAGCTAACAACCATCTCTAACTCCAGTTCCAAGGGATCTGATGCCCTCTTCTAGCCTCCACAGTTTTTGTATGCGTGTGGTACACTTACATGCATGCATGTAAAACACTCATACACATAAAAATATTTTTTAAAAAAATAGCTTGCCAGGTGTGTGGTGCATATCTTTAAGACCAGTACTCAGGAAGCAGAGGCAGGCAGATCTCTGTGAGGTTGAGGCTAGCCTGGTCTACATAGTTCCTGGGTAGGTGGGGCTACAGGGAGACCCAGTCTAAAATAAATAAATAAAAAAAAATTGGTTGGTAATCTTTTGTATATTTTTTGAGTCTTGAATTCCTGTTTCCATCTCCCAAGTGCTAGGGTGACAGGAGTTGCACCCTACACCCAGCTGTGAGTGAATGTAGTCTGTTCACCAAAAAGTAGAAACTGTAAACTTTACAGATCAGGTCAATTTAAAAGTTCATACTCGGGCTGGAGAGATGGCTCAGTGGTTAAGAACACTGGTTGTTCTTGCAGAAGACCCGGGTTCAAATCCCAGCACCCACATGGCAGCTAACAACTGTCCATAACTCCAGTCCCAGGGGACCCGACAGCCTCTTCTGACCTCTGCAGACATTGCATGACACAGGCGCATTTATCTACATGCAGGCAATACACTCATACACATAAAATAAAAATAAATAAACTCAGGAAGCAGAGGAGGTGGATCTCTGTGAGACAGAAGTCAGCCTGGTGTATATCACTGAGTTCCAGCTCAGCTGGAACTACAGGAAGTCTCAAAAAGAAAATAAATAAATAAATAAATAAATAAATAAATAAATAAATAAATAAATAAATAATAAAGTTCATACTCAGCAATTCAGGGGCAGAGGTACATGCTTTGTTCTAACATCAACCACCTTAAGAGGCTGGACAGCTTACAGAAGCTCCTGCTAAAAAGTGAGGTGCACAAGACAGGGTCCCCAACTCAGAACACAGAGTTCCCCAAAACTTGCTGAACAAAAGTCTTCTAGACGATCCACAGTGCTGGAAAGCTTTGAGGGACTAGATTCTCTGATTCAAATAGAGACTGTGTTAGCAAGATGTGCCAGGCACCTCAATCTGAAGGATATGCCCAGGCCTTGTCACATAGAAAGCTAGGCCACTCACTGATGGACGGAGGGAAAGTTCCTCCCTGTGGCCTCTCTCTGCCATTGTGTTGATCCCACCTTCATCCACAGCCTTTCATACAATCCTCTGAGCTGGGAGTGCAGACTGAACTTTTCCACAACATGAGACTAGGTAATTGTCACATGGGGCTCTGTCACCTGGCTACAGTGCAGAATGTTTAGTCTCTGCTTTAGCTAAACAAGCTAGAAGACGCCTTCCAAGAACCAGGAGTTAGCGCTGCACTGTGGTGATGCATATACAGAAATCACTCTCAGCAGATTCTCTCAGGGCCTGTCCATGGTTCTGGGGTACTCCAGCATGGGGAGCAGCTCCCGAGCACTCCTCTAAGGCATGTGGAGACACTCCTGCCAAACAAGGAGGCCTCAATCAGGGCGTCTCTCCTGTAGCCGGTGAAGCACGGCTTTGCACCTACAGGGTGTGTAACATGTTTGATGATGGCTGGAAACAAACTGGGTGATGGAAGGTCTGCTGCTGACCGTGGTGCCACCCCAGCTCCCCGGCCCTGCCAAGAGTAGCTGCCCAGTGCCAGTTCTGTCCTCATTCAGGTCTCCCATGACCACCTGGATAGTGGATTGTGTCTCAAATTCATGTCCTAGCTCCCAGTACCTTTTAGGTGCTGCTGGTATAAATGGTCAAGATGAGGTCACACTGAGCAGGGTGTATAAAGTAGGTGAATCTTTATAACAACACTAGGACTGGTATCTTTATAAGGCGAGATTTGAGCTGGGTGTGGTGGCTCAAGCCTGTGATTCCAGCACAGGGGAGGCTCAGACAGGAGGATTGAGTTGAAGTTCCGTCTGGGCTACACACTGGATCTGAGGCCAATCTGGAACACAACTTTTTCTTTTTATTTAGGGAAGAGCATGAACACAGTCCCCTACTACCACAAATCATGCATTGGGTTTCCCCAAATTTGAGGAAATCACAGGGGTCTGCACATCCAAAATGCATTGGATAAGCCTCGCCCTGGAAAACCACTTTCGCGATCGCAGTATCTCCCATGCCAGGTAACGTGAAATACCAGAACTTGAGAAGTGGAGGCAGATGATCAGGCTTTGCCTGAGCTACACAGGAGTTCAATGACAGTGACTTCATTTAAAAGGTGTAGGGGCTGGGTGGGATCTGGACACAGGCCTAGACTGCAGCTACTGGAGATGGAGAGATTGGGTGATGCCTTTACAAGCTAAGGAACACCAAGGATCTAAGTGACCACAGAACTTGGGGACAGCTCTGGGAATCACAGGAGCCCACACTTGGTCTCAGGCTGACAGCCTCTGGAACCACAAAGGCAGAGACTTGTGAATATGAAAGTTGATCCCTGGTCTGTGTATCACTTTGTCATGGCAGCCCTAGAAGTGTCAACCATCAGTTTTCAGAACTGCAGGGGAATCTGGGATTGCGGGCTCTCCTCTGTCTTGGCTCTGCTCCTATATTCTACCCATCAGGTTTTATCAAGCCCCCAAGTCAAGCACCAGCGAGGACCTTGGCTGAGGCTGTTACCAAAGCAAAGTAACTTGCAGAGGGCCAGGGGAGAGGCTGACGTGTGGGCTCCTTTCCCTTCTCCGCCTGTAATGGGTGCTCCCTTTTGAGAGCCAATTGGAAGCCACTTCTGCATGTCCAGAACAGAGCTAGGAAAGTGGGTGGTATGCAAGAGACAGAGAGTGAGAGGGAGCAAACATACACAGACACAAACGTGCAGGGTATACAGGGCAGTCACACAGGATTGGCAGTGGTGGCCTGCAGAGCTGAGATTCCAGCCTGGACAGCAGCAGGCTTCTGCATAGTAGGATGTACCCTAGAGGTAGTTCTGGGAGTCCACTCTAGAAACCTTGAGGAAAGCTAAGAAGTGACAAACAGGGAAATGCATGGAGCTGAAGCCTCCTCCACTGACCAGTGCTTCTCAGGTATGTGGGGGCAGACAGGTGAGGCATCCTTCAAGCTCAGGGCCTCCTGATGCCCTTGAGCCCACATCCACAGCAGTCTTCATGGGCTTGTCCTCTGTAAGGCACCTTGTAGGTCCAGCTGCGGGCAGGGAGCAGTAGCCAGGAAGGACCTGACCCCTTTGGCCGGACATGGCGACAGGTGTGCTGAAAGATGAGCCATTAAACACGATCCTGCGCTCAGGGAGGGGGGGAGCAGCTCGGTTTCAGCCCCCCGAGTCTACAAGCATGACTACGCAGCTTTATATAGCTCCGTAAGCCCTATATAAGCTGGAATTGAAGTCTCTGTCAAGACAGAAAAGCCTACACACTGATCTGGTCTGGTCAGCGTATTCCTCATCTGCACCCACACTCTGCAATAGGGTCCCAGAGGGGCAGCCCACCCCGACCCCCAGGATGCCCAGCAGAACTGCCCGGTATGCTCGTTATAGCCCCCGACAGAGGCGACGGCGGCTGTTGGCTGATCGCAGTGTGCGTTTCCCTAATGATGTCCTCTTCTTGGACCACATCCGTCAAGGCGACCTGGAGCAGGTGGGGCGCTTTATCCGGGCTCGGAAAGTCTCCCTGGACACTATCCACCCTTCAGGTAAGCACCGAGGGACTGGTCTTATGTTTGTGAGGCTACAGGGGAAGGCCTGTACAATGGCTACAGCCTTGACTCCTCTGTCTTCCACCCTGCCCAGGCCTGGCTGCGCTGCATGAAGCCGTGCTCTCTGGAAACCTGGACTGTGTGAAGTTGCTGGTCAAATATGGAGCTGACATCCATCAGCGGGACGAGTCTGGCTGGACACCCCTGCACATAGCCTGCAGCGATGGGTATCCTGACATAGCCAGGTGAGACGGTGGTCCCAATCCACCCAAGCCTCAATGGGTCTCAAGTGGACCCCAAAAGATGGCCCTGATGGCAGTAGACAGCAACCCTGAGGCTATCTGGCACTGTTTCTACCCGATTGCCACACTCTAAGGCACACTGGAAATTGTGGCCACGGCTTCCAAAGGGTCAGGTTTCTTCCTCCTGGCCTTGCCTGGAAAAAACAAACAGGTGACCCCCAAATCCCAGTCCTATGCCCTGGAGTGGGCTGAGCAGGCTTCAACTAGGATGCCCTTTACACCCCAGGTACCTCATCTCTCTGGGGGCAGACAGAGATGCAGCCAACGATGATGGCGACCTGCCCTCCGACCTCATCGACCCGGACTTCAAGGACCTAGTGGAACTCTTCAAAGGAACCAGCATGGACTGATCCAGCCCTGCCTTTGGGGAGCTTGGGCGACCCAGGAGAAGCACTTTGCCCCAGGGTGTGCCCCCTTCACGCCCAGCCAGGCAGCCCAGGCTGGCCAGGACTTGTCATGGGGCACGACCCCTGCCCCTATACCCATTTCTTGGCCTGGCTTTTTCTCAGGTCAATTTTTTTTTTTTTATGGTGATACTTTTTACTTTTTCAATAAACATGATTCCCAAGCCTGTGATGACTGATCAGCGGGGTCCGGGGCAAGCCGCGGCCATGCACGCTGGGCTGGGCGGTCAGTCTTCCGGAAGCTCCTCGCCTGGGCCGCTTCTTTTCGGGGGCGGCCCTGTCCCCATCTTCCCAGTCCCTGGTGTCCTTCCTCCCACCTGCGGGAACCCCCACCCCCAGGACTCCCCCATCCCGCCTCCGCTACGACCAAACGCCACCCTGAACGCCGGCGGTCACGTGACCGGTGCAGTTTGCGCCTGCGCAGTGGCGTCACTTCCGGCCGGCCCACTGAAGCTGCGGGGCGGCGGCGGCGGCGGCGGCGAGGCGGGCGAGGTGAGGAAGGCGCGGCCGCAGGGCGGGGCGGGGCGGG